TGGGGGTCGCTTTCGGAGTTTACCGGCTCGTCCTTGGAACTTCATGGCCTGGGGCGCATGGAATGGGGGCTAGCGCTGACGGGGGTCGGCTGGTCCCCTTCGAGATCCTGCGGCTGACCCGCGTTTGGTTGCCATTCTAGGCATGCGACGTCTTCTGGCTTCTTTGTCAACGTGACCCCCTGGAGATCTAGAACCCGTGCCTGGGACCAGATTTTCATGCTGAGTTCCGCAGAAGGCACCTATCGACCAGGCGTAAGAGTGACCCGTCGCCGGAGTGACCTTCGGTGCGGGCCCACTGGGACTCCCGATCGCATAACACGATGCGATAGTAGCGCATCGCGCGCTTGTGTTCGGTCCCCCGGCGGCCCCCCAAAAGGCCGCGCACCAAAGGTCACTCTTACCCAGGGTCACTCTTCCGCGTGGCCGAAGCTATACAACCACCACCATGCCTGACCCCGGCCATCCTGGGCCCCGGGATGGTGTATAGGCCCTCCTGGCCTCGGCCAGCAGTTCGTGTACACTGTGCCTGGGCCAAGGACGACCCTGGCCAGGCACGGCGGTGGTGTATACAGAGATGCCTTCTGCGTAGGGGTCGTCTTTCTGACGGCCTGGGGCTCGGTGAGTGTCTCGTAGGCCGCAGCTGGCCGAAAACCTCGCGTCGTGTTTTCGCTCCGCGGCTCGAGGGTGTCGGGGACTTCCCTGGGGCCGAGCCTGAAGTCGGGCGTGTCCCTCTACAGGAGGGATATGCAAACACAGTGAAAACATACTTTGGGGACGTACGTTTTTTTTTGGTTCTTCCTTCTTTTTTTGTATTGTTGTCGTTGTTGTTGTGATTGTTGTTGTTGTTGTAGTTGTAGTTGTAGTTGTTGTTGTTGTTGTTGTTGTTGTTGTTGTTGTTGTTGTTGTTGTTGTTGTTGTTGTTGTTGTTGTTGTTGTTGAACATTATTAATTCTAAAGAATAATTATTGTTGGGCCCCTGGTGCACGGCCCCCCTGCGCCGCCTAGGCCGCAGCTACATTTTCATCATTTTCGTGAGGAAGCCTCAGGTAATTCGATGTGATCAAGATCCGGTTGTTTTGTTCCCCCCCGCTTTCCCTTGCAAAAAACACTATAAAATGACATTTCTTGTTCTAATATAATCAAATTTCAAGAATCCCTTGCAAAAAATAAGGTAAAGTGGACATTCGCGCGCGCAAGACGAAATCCTTCCAAAAGCTTAGTGTTCGGAGCGATTTTAACATAAAAACATCAAAAAACCAATGGTTTTTCAACAAAAAAATGTCAAAATCTCATCCCGCGCGCTCTTGCGGATTCGTAGGAAACCCAACACTTTTTAAACATTTCTGTCAAACGGGCTTTTGCGAGCAACTTTTTCGAACTTCTGCGACAACGGTTGCGCACCTGCCAGGGCCATCATCCCTGTCAAATAATACCATGCGGGACACATTCGTTTTTTCTTCGCGCGCGCACGCCGTCGTCGTCGGCCGCGGGGCCCTGATAGTAGCCACGGTCGTCCGCATGCCACGAAGTGAAGTGTCCGAACGTCATAGGGCGGGAAGCTGGGTGTGGGTGGTGGCGAAGAGTCGTTTGGAAATGTGGTAGAGCTTGAACCGGCCCCCCCACAAAGTGGGGGTATTGCCCGCCTCCTATGAAAACCCTGGCACTGGTGAGAACGGAGTGTCCCCAGTCTTAAATGATTGTTGTTGTTGTTGTTGTTGTTGTTGTTTATTTTCTTGGGGGGGGGGGTTGTTTTGTCATTTTTGTTTTTTTTGTGTGACTATTTTTCATTTTTCGTCCAGAATCCGCCTGTAGGAGGACATGCCCGATCTAAGCCGAGCCCCGCCCCTCCCCGCCCTGCGCCGACCGGGGCTTTTCTGAGAGTTCCTCTGCGGCCGGCCCTTTGGATCCGCGGCGGGGCCCTGGCCGCCCCCGGGTCACCGCGCACCCGGGCTGCCCATCGGTCGTCGAAGCTTCAAGTCGGGCGTGTCCTTCTACAGAGGGGATGTTCAAACATAGTCAACCAAATAGTTTGGGGACGATCTTTTTGAACCATGTTTGACTGTTCTTGATTTGTGTGACTATTCTGAATTTTTCGCCCAAAATCCGCCTCCAGGGGGACATGCCCGACCTAAAGCTAGGAATTCCTAGGCATCCTAGATGGTGTCCGAGAAGATACGGTCGGAGGATCGCGCCGCATGATGCATCGGCGATGCGTCGGCGGTGCACCGGCGACGTCGGCGATGCATCGGCGCTGTCTGCGTGGAGAAAGTTGGGCTCCACATCGACGATGCGGAGCCGATGCGGTTCGATGTGCAAGCCGATTTACTTCACGTCGACGTCGCCCATGCATCGCCGACGTCGACGATGGCAGCGATACATCGCCGATGTAGCGGCGATGCGGCGCGATCCTCCGACCCCATCTGCTCCGACCCCATCTAGGAGGCCTTTCTTGGGGCCCCCAAATGCCAATCTGCTTTGGGCGCGGCGCCTTTCCATTTCAAGGAGCGAGTGGTTTCACCTCCTCCTTCGTCTTCAGTGGGCGGGCGGAGGTCCAGTCTACTTCCAACGCCTTCCTCCTTCACGTTTCTATCCACGTCTTCCGACCAATGGGTAGCCTGACCCCAGCTGGTCCGCCTCTTTGTTTTCTAGCTTTGTTTTTTAACCATCCATGCTCGAACCTCCCCGTTCATTTGACGCAGTTGTTTAGTGAGTTTTGTTGTTGTTGTTGTTGTTGTTGTTGTTGTTGTTGTTGTTGTTGTTGTTGTTGTTGTTGTTGTTGTTGTTGTTGTTGTTGTTGTTGTTGTGTTGTTGTTGTTGTTGTTGTTGTTGTTGTTGTTGTTGTTGTTTTTGTTTTTTTTTTTTTTTTTTTTTTTTTTTTTTTTTTTTTTTTTTTTTTTTTTTTTTTTCAGTTTCAGCGTGGCTCCCCAGAGGTCTGGACCTCTTCCTGGGGGCCAGCTTTTCATCCCGAGTTTTTTTTTTTTTTTTTTTCACGGCCCCCGGAGGCCGAGAATTGCCGAAGACCTCCTGCCGTGATTTGCCCCCCCCCCCCCCCCCCCACGGCGCGAGGCTGTGCGCCCAAGGGCCAACAGCCGATCCCCCGACCTGTTCCGGGCTGCGCTCTGGCCAGAGTTTCGGGGCGGCTCTGGCCCTGGCGACGAGGAGGCCTCTGGAGGCCCAGAACGGGCGAACAAACGTGAAGACTCGATCCTCGAACGTCGAACCTCGAACCTGCGATCCTCGAGCTTCGGATGCTTCGAATCGGCGCTGGTACATCCCTGGCCAGAAACTGGCCCGATCCTTCTTCCGCGGCTCCGCTCTGGCAGGTGCCAGGCGTCCACGACGAATTCGCGCAGGGCAGCGGCGACGAGGGCGGCTGAGCGCGCTCCGCCGAGCCCGCGCCGGCCCCGATACCATCGACCTCGAGCCGGCATCGCGGCGCCTCCCCCCCCCCCTGCCCTCCCGCCTGGGACCGTCTCCCTCTCCTCTGGCGACGGCGGGCGGGACCAGGGAGGGGGGAGCTCGAGCCGGCATCGCGGCGCCTTTCCCCCTTGCCCTCCCGCCTGGGACCGTCTACTTCTCCTCTGGCGACGGCGGGCGGGACCGGGGAGGGGGGAGCGGGGGGGGGGGGTGACAGGGGCCGGTCACGTCACAGTGCGCGCCGGCGTCGTCTGGGAGTGCTGAGGAGTGGCCAATTCCCACACCGCGCTGGCGCGAATCGTGACGTGACCGGGGGGGAGGAAGGGGGGGGGGCGGGGCCAGTCACGGGCGTTTTCGCGAATCATAAAAAACGGGCTCCTTCCGCCCTGCAGGGTCCCCTTTTCGTTCCGATCGATCCGATGAGATGTCGAATCCGCCGGGCCCGATCCGATCCGATTCCGATATTGCGACGATTCGGTGCGGCCCGACGCTTGCATGGCGCTGTTGTGCATCCCAGCGCAGCCGACCCGATTCGACTTCGACTTCGTGCCGATGCAGCCCGATCCGATGCAGATTTCGATCCGTTCCGCTTTGCCGATTCAATGCTGGTGATCCTGCCATGACATCCCTTGCGTCGCGACGAACAGGCAACGGGAAGCGCCTGGTCATTCTGGGTCTCTTGGGGCCCTCACCGGGCCTCGGGGCTTTCACAAAACGAGTCAGCACGAAAGACGGGCCACCGGGGAGGGGTCCAGAGCTTTGGGGAGCCAGGTCGCGAAGCACGCACGACGTCGGATTTGCCTGGGTGGGGTGGGAGGCTCCCCAGCAGGCAGAGAGAGTCCCTCATCCGTACCCGCCCCTTCCCCGTAGAGCGTAGTAAGTGGCGCTGTTATTGGTCCTCCTCTTCTTCCTCCTGCCCTCCTCCTTCTGCTGGATGCATCTTGCACGACGTAGAGACCTCCAGGACACAGCCTGGCGGCAATGCTGGCGGTCCCGCATACCTTCCACGTGCCAACACATTAGGTACACGCCACCAGGACGCAGCCCAGCGGCAATGTTGTCGGTCCTGTTTGCAGGCACGCGCCCATCGGAGGCACGGTCCTTCAGGACGCAGCCCAGCGGCAATACTTGCGGTCCTGCATACTGAGAGCGGGGTGGCCACTTAGGGGGATGCTAAGACTTCCTCCGCACGCAGTGGCTGCGTCCAACCGCCGTGCAACATCGTGACAAATCGCAACTTGAGCCCTCGTCCCCATCTCCCTGCGGAATTTCTTTAGCCAGATCGATTCGCGAGGCTCCCAGGGTCCAATGCCGGTGCCGGGCGAAAACGCCCAGAATGAAGCCATTCGGCTGGGCGTAAGAGTGACTCTTCGCCGGAGTGAGCTGTGGTGCGGACCCACAGGGGTCCCCCCAGCAGTGGATGGCGCGCCTGGATTTGGCTTCCCTTGGCCCCCTAAAGCCGCGCACCAAGGGTCACTCTTTCCTAGGGTCGCTCTTGCGTGTAGCCGAACCATTGCAGCGTCCGGATCGCCAGGGTCCTCCTCTCCCTCCTCTTCCTGCCGCTCCTCTGCTGGCTCCAGACCCCCCCCCTGGGTTAGGGCCACGGCCCGAGGGCCAGCCGGCCCCGCGGCTCGCAGTCATGGAGCTCCCGCCGGGCTCGCCCGACTCGGTTTCGGACGGCGACGTCAGCATGGGCGACACAGAGGAGGAGGAGGAGGAGGAGGAGGGGGAGGAGGAGGAAGAGGAGGAGGAGGAGGAGGAGGAGGAGGAGGAGGAGGAGGAGGAGGAGGAGGAGGAGCAGGAGGAGGAGGAGGAGGAGGAGGAGAAGGAAGGGGAGGAAGAGGAGGAGGAGTACCAGTGGAAATCCAAGAGTCATAAACGATGTTGGAATACACCCTCCCGCCAAGCTCCCCCCGTCATAGGCCCCTTGCCAGGGTTCAGATCCACTGAAGGAGCTGCCTCGCTGAGAGACGCCCGTTTTGAAGACCCTGAAGCGTGCCTAAACACCATTTTTGGGACTCCAGCGCCACGAATCAATATCACCGTTGCTTCTTGACGATCCTGAATCGTGCCAGAACACCATTCTTGGGATTTAACACCGCGAATCGACGTAACTGTCGCGCCCTCACAGTCCTGAGCCCTTCCAAAACACCATTTCTGGCACGTTGATCTTGAGAATCAGATAATCTCCTGCACATGTTAAAAACGAATGTGCGTGGCGTTAAAGCGAGAGCCTCATGTTCAAAAGGAACCGCCCAACCGCCCTCAATCCGAGAAGCCCTTGCAAATGTTGGCAACGAATGCGCGCGGCGCTAAGGCGAGAACCACATGTTCAAATCGACCTGTCCTCAATCCGTGAAGCTTTTGCAACATGTTCAAACGAATGTGCGCGACACTAAAACGAGAGCCACACCTTGAACACCACCCGGTATCAATCTGTGAAGCTCCCCCAAATATTTAAAGCGAGTATGCGCGGCGCTAGTGCGAGAGCCACATTAAAAAAACCACCCGCCCTCAGACTGTGAAACTGATGCTAGTTTCTTAGCTTCAGGGCCATACGCGGTGAGAAAGTCTCAGGCGAAACGCCTGGCCCGCCCTTTCGACTGGCCTCGGGGTGCGACAGGGAGGAGTAATGTAGAAGGAAAGGGAATGGAGGATGAGAAGGAGGAGGAGGAGGAGGAGGACGAGGAAGAGGATGAGGGAGAAGGGAGGATGATGAGGAGGAGGAGGAAGATGAGGAGGATGATGATGATGAGGAGGAGACCCAGGGCAAACCCAAGACGCATCAAGGATGATGCAATACACCCTCCCTCCAAGTTCTTTTCATGGGCCTCGACAAGAATCAACTGACATTGCGGGAAGTGCCCCATCAGAAGACAACTGTTCGAAAATCCTAATTCGTGCCTGACGCCCTCGTTGGAGTCCTCTGGGCCTTCGATGAGACATGGCAGTGACTCCGCCAGCTGGTCGCGCCTGAGGATGGTCTCGTCGTCGTGCGCCTTCTCTGAGTCGAAGGCCTGCGGTAAATGCTGTGTCTGAACCATGGGTTTCTGCCAGCGCGCGTCTAGGGCCAGGGAGACTGCCGCGCGCGGCACCGGGGGCGTGTCGAAGTGCTCGTCGACCTTCTGCGCCAGGCTGGTCAGCTCCCTGTTATTGCACGCGGCGTACTCCCCTCCATTGCGCAGAAGGCGTGCTCCCTGTTGTTGCACGTGGTCGTGCCAGGCGCAACTGCCGTGGCCCCAAGCGGCGCTGGCCAGTCCGAGTCTTCAAGCTCGCTGGAGTCGATGGTCCAGTCGCCCCGTATGATGAACGGGAGCTCGAGGTGTGAGCACCACATGTGGAGCTCATTGAAGATCTCCAGGATTGCGCCCTTGAGGTCGAGGCCGTCCACCATGTATACCGAGACCATCGCGAAGGTCGTAGCTATGGTCAGGGAGATCCGCCTGGCAATCGAGCGGTGCGGGGGCCCTTTCCATACCCGGAATGGCTTGGCCGAACCGTGCATTTTGGATGAGATGATGCCGACGCCTGCAGAGACTGCTGCACTGGCGGCCTCGCCCGTCCTGTTCACCTCGCTGCTGGCGAACTGCATCGCTGTGTGCGCAGCCCAGCCATGGGCCTGCTGCTCCATCACTGTCGATGTGAAGCGGGTCTCCTGGGCCAGCATGATTTGCAGTGCTTTCCTTTGGCGCTGCAGCCACTCGAAGGTATTGGCTGCAGTGCCCCAAGTACCGCCATTGTAAGTTGCGACTACAAGCGCCTCCCCCCACTTAGCTGGGTAGTGGGTGAGCGGGTCCCCTGGATCTGGGGTCAACTGGGCCAGCTGGAGCTGCCGCAATCCGCTGTGGGAGTTCGCCGCTTCGCTGCAAGGCTTTTCGGCCACCTGCCTGTCGGCGGCTCGTGCAGCTGCCGGGTCTGAGCCCAGCGGGATAGGAGGCTTCGACCACCCGCTGTGCCAGCGGCCCCACCCGTGCCGTAGTCGGAGGAGGAGCTGGAGGAGGAGGAGGAGGAGGAGGAGGAGGAGGAACTCTGGTCGCAACGGCACTTGACAGAACTCCAGAAGGCGCTGTCGGCCGAGCAGGAGTCGGAAGGAGAGTGTTTGGTGTCAAGCCTCGTGGACTTCGAGTGCCACGCCATCTTCAAGACCCAAGGGCGGTCCTTCATGGAGCTCTTCGCAGATGAAGCAGAAGCCTTTGACTTCCAGGACCGCCGCGAAGCCCTTGTAGCGGTCCGCCACAAGGCCGGGATAGGAGGGGAGGCGTGCAACTGGAGGCAATACTGGTCCACACCGCCGTCACGGTAATGGCCCACGGCCAGCGACCCCGCAGATTCATGCCGATGGTCGGAATGCCAGAGGGCCGCAAGCTGAGCCCCGTCCTTAACTGTGGGGAGTGCAGCCAAGCATCAGACGGCCGCGGACGTTACCACCGCTGGCGTTGGGCTTGACCCATGCCCGCGCGCGCGCTCCGGGCATACTATGGAGTCTCGGGACGGTTCGGACACCCCCATGCTGGACATGGCAGAAGTGGAGCAGTGGCGGATCCTTCAGCAAGCCGGGGAGAGCTGGGACACCATGAGTGGCGCGTCGTCCGATGCTGTGCTTGCCCTCCTGGACCAGACGGCGACCGCGCGGGTGGGCCTACGAGCGTTTCTGGATGACGTCCGATGTCCGGGGCCAGTGCGGCTTGATGGCTGCGGCGCTTCAATCGGCAGCCCAGAAGCACCGCGCCCGCCTGCGCTATGGACTGACGAAAACAGCAGCACTTGCCAGCGGAGCCATGGATTCTAGACCATGCAGCTCGGTGGAGTTCGTCGGTGTGTACACGTGCCTCGGGGTAGCCCGCGACACTGGGGCGCCGGGCGAAGCTCATCTTCGATCGCTTCTGGCGGCGGCGCGACGGCTGTGCCTCCAGCAGTTCGGGTCATGCAGGACGGGGGGTTCCTCATCAACATCCAGACG